AAAGAGAATGAGAGCAGTGAATCAGATTCAAAGAAGTTCACTTTCTACTCAAAAGAAGAATAAAAAAAGAAAGATGGCTATCACTGAAGTTGTACAATGATAACAGAAATCATATAATGATATAGTGATAGAATAATATAGTAATATAATAATACAGCAATATAATGATAGACATTGTATAATTAATGAGAAATCACTGAAATGAATATCTTCTCTAACTGATACAAACAACACTCTTCTCTGCTATCTGAACTAAAAGATATGCAGAACCTCTCAGAGGGTTTACTCAAAGTAGTAAGAAAAGCAGCTGAAATCACTGAACTGGAATTGAAGCTCTGTACATGTACAAGAATTCTAAACAAGATCAAGATCTTGTATATACAGTGACAGACTGAGACAGAAGTCAAATAACAATTGATATTCACTGCAGATCAAGTATTTACTATGAAGAGCTTTGTCAATGCAATCATCATCATTAATAAGAATAGAGAAAACCAGATCTTAGACCTGTAGCAGAAGATTAAATATTTACACAGATAGATAACTATACTGAATCTGAAGATCTCATCATGATTATTTATACTCTCTTCAGAAGTATATACATTATCAGAGATCACTGTGCAGAATAAGAATCTGAGTATGAAATACATCAAGCTGAGAGATCTGCTGAAGCTATTAAGCTTTAATAGTGACTGAAAAAATAATGCTGTAATCAGCTGGCTAAGTCAGATATAATTATATTATCAGATTAAATATGAACTCACAGACAGATAGTTAATAAAATTTCAACAAGTCTTAAGATCTGCTGCATTTCTATATGAAAAAGCAAAGTTATTATAAATGACTGATAAAAAGATAAATCTCACAGACTCAGAGTAATATTCATTCTTATAAATATGAAACGAGTTTTTCAAATAAATCTTACACAACTTTGAGAAAGTGAATGTATAAGATAAGTATTATGAATACTTCACTGAGTGTAGATAAGTAAGTAATTTTATATCATACTTCACACACTTCAGTTTACACTATCTTATATTGAATGAAGAGCTTTCAATATCTTTTTATTTACAGATCTTCATTCATAATCTTACATCTGAGTTGAGAGTGAAATGAAAATGCTTAATCTCATAGTCAGACACAGTGAAGAAAGCATACAATATTCTTATTATATGAGAATAAGTGAGTCAATTGCAATAGAAAATACTGCAATCAAGTATATCTCAGCAGAGAATAAGTAATCAGACTTCTATGACACAAGTCACACATCTGAATGCAATGAATCTAGATCTGAATATCATTACTAAAGCACTGAATTCTCTGAAAAAGAAATTCTCTAAGTAAAAATCTTGATATTGTAAGTATTGAGCTTGCTTCAACTACAGATGTTAAAATCATGATATAAAAGATTACATTCAATATATACAGTCAAGAGAAGTAAGAGAGTCAAAAAACTAGCAGAATCAGTGAGCTTGAAGACACTCACTGATATTCTATGAAAAGTTTTCAAAGTGAAAGAGATGTCTGTGTTAGATGACTTTCTGAATTCTGTGAATGCAAAGAAGAAGCAGACTTCTGAATGAAGTGCAGATGAGAATGATAAAGTGAATACTTATCTCAATATCTTAAGATCTGAAATGTTAATGTATAGAGAGCACTTGAATAAGAATTGAGAGATAGCTGTAAAAGTGTTAGTAAACACAGAAGCTTCTATATAATATATTGATAATTATATAATCTGAAGAGTGAAAGAGATTAGACTGGCCGGCGGGACTATAAATTTCACATTTGGTCCCATTTGGTCTGGTCTCATACATTTCTTAGCGTGAGTCTCACCAGGACCAAGCCTCAAAAAAATCTGAAAATGAACCATTTCTGAGAGAAATGATGTGAAAAATGACCAGATTTAATTCAAGAACAGTGAAATGAGAGTAATTTTCCAGAATAAACTGTGAAAGATAATCATTCTTTCAAAATCAGAATGAGACTGAGACTGAAGATCAAAATCAGTCTCATTCAGTTCATTCAGTGATTGCTTATATAATCAGAATTTGATAATGATTATTGATAACACTCATGAAACAACTAAATACATTCTTGTACAAGTTTATTCTTCACTTTCTCATGAAAACTACACTTCTCTGATATACTGTGATCAGAGGTATTAAACTGTCTGATAATTCCATGTTTTACAATCATGAGTTTCTTGATTGTTTCTCCTTGTAATTGTCCTCAGCAATAGTGATAAATATCTCAACTTGAGTTGAACTTTCACTTCATTCTCACCTCTGTCAATGGAATTGTCAGAATATCATGTGTCATCAGTGTAACAGTTGAATATGTACTCTCAACAATTTTTCATAACTCTAGAATTGATTTGGTATGTAAATTTGTCAGATCATCTTGAAGATAGTGATCAAATTCAGTTTTACAAGCATGTAGTTTTATCTGATTTTCAGTTGCAATCAATGTATGTAAGTTCTGTTTCAAAGTTAGTATTATAGTTCTATATGATATGAAGTGTTATCAAAGATCATTACTTACTAGGGAATTGTATTTCACTGTCTTCACATCTCAAACATCTGCTTATTCAAATCTCTGATAGTTGACATTGTAGTAGTCTCAGACTAATTTAACATATGAGTCTCATTTCTTCTCTGTTCAATCTTGAGAAGTGTAGATGTTAACTCAATGAGAGAGATCTAGTAGAGCTGCTACAGCATAGTACTCTGTAAAAGATTGTTTCATTTTGCTGTAGTAATATACCAGTTTATTTCTTACAGCAACAATAGTCTGCACTATAGCATTATCTCAGACTGAATTTCTTTTTGAGTGATTCAACTGCTTCTCAAGATGAGTAAATAAACTGTTATACACTCATCAGGCTGACTGCAGTATTGATGTACAAGTGATTGAGACTGTCTTTGTTATCTTATAAAACTGAAACAGTAAATCAATCACATATTTCAACTGAGTTCACTTCATATTAGAAAGTTTCAATATCTGAATCTTTTCTCAATCAGAGTGTTGCACTCAATGATCAATCATCTGACACAATTGAAGAGTCTGAACAGTCATCTTATATGTTGAACTTCACTGTATTCTAACATTCTGTATCATATTCAGTGATGTGACTGATTTGTTTGTTTATTGAATATTATGAAATCATTGTTATTATTTAGAAGAGATATAAATCACATTAGTAATGTTTCAAATCTATGATATTTAAATTATTAGTCAATCTATTCAAAATTAACAGTAGCATTACTAAAAAGTGTTATCAAAAAGCAATATTAAAAAGTGTTGTCAAAAAACATTATCTTTTACAAAGTGAATGCAAAAGTTACTTGAGTAACTACTTTCATCTTATTCTCATCCCAAGAACCAGCCATCTCATTATTCTTCATCTCAATGTTAAGATTCTTTATCAGTGTTTATATCACAAGTTAAATCACATGAGCAATGCAGAGAATATGATCTTGTTTATCATTTCAGAAATGCAAAGTCAATTTTTGCTTCAAGCTCTTCATCATAGTGTAGTTATTCACAGCATTGTCAGTTGTAATTATAAGAAGACTGAGACTAATATCTCAATAGTCATTTTTAATCACAGTTATTAATATCTCTGTCATATAATTCTCAGTATGACTACTGATCAATGATTCAAATTCAATTAATGTCTCTTGATAAGTTCAGTTCTTATCAATGTAATAATATGTAACTCTTATAAATGCAAGATTGTTTGTACTAGTTCATGCATTCACTGTGAGAGACACTCTTCAATGATTCTTCAACTCTGATTCTAGATATTGCATATTGACTTTGTAGTGTGTCTCAAGGTTGAACTGAAGACAGAATCAATGTGAAATATGAAGATTTGAATTAAGCATTTGAAGAAGTGTTCAGAATTCAGGGTTTTCAATTGATTGAAGAGAAAGATTCAGAGATATATATATGTGAAGTAATTATTCACAGAAGTTATCAGATGAGAGTTGTGAAATCAGAGTACTGATACAAGATCATTTTTACATGATTTTCTTCAAATTAGAAAGTTAGTATTATCAAAAATCATTATCTGATAGAGCAACTTATCAGCTCAGTAGTAATTTTCTGATTATTTTTCTTTTATTATCTACATTCTGATGACTTCAGATGTCAGAAAATTTCTTCAGAGCTATGATCAGTTCATGATGAATGTTTCTGAATGAAGTTGCAGTGATTGTAGCAAAGAGATGACTCTTCAGTAATCTGCAATGCAATCTGTTGATAATTATTTCATAGTTCATCTTAATATTTGTGTTGAGTTTTTCATAAATTTTGTGACCTGAAATTAGATGTGAAGAATGAAGTGATCATTCATCATAATTAAAAGAGAGCATTCTGTATTGAATTGTAAACAATGTAGACTTTGTGATTCACAGTGATTTCTTGAAGAGTTTGTGAATCTTCAATAGAAGTAAAAGAAGTGAAAGAAGTGGATTCAGAAGACATGATAATAATTTGAGAAAGATGATAATTTATTTTCAATAACTGATCACTGATGTGTGTAAGAAGAATTAATATAAGAGAAAATAATCTTGTTTCTTAGCTTAGTTATAATTTTAGTACTAACTCAGATTGAATATCATTGATGTATAAAAGTAAATAAACAATCTTGATTAATCTCTATTATATTTCTTGAAATATATTAATATTGTGAAAGAGAGTGTTATTAAATTATGTTATCAGATAATATCATTAAAAATATATTAATATTGTGAATATCAATGTTGAAAAAATATTGATACTTATACATTATAGTGATTTGTGAATCATGATAGTTAAATATATATATATATATATATCATTCCTGACTTGATTACAACTTGTACAATAATTTTTGAAAACTCAAAATCAATTTTAATTATTAATAATTAAAAACTTAAACTTATAACTAACTAATATAAAAAGAAAAAAATCTACTTCTTCTCTTTCTCATTCTTCTTATCATTCTTCACAATTCACTTCTCATTCTTCTTCTTCTTCTTCTTCTTCTTCTTCTTCTCCTCCTCATCTGAGATGATAATCATCTCAAAATCTCTCTTCACTGCTTTCTCAGAGAAGAGTTCCTGCTGCTCCTTCTCAGTCAGGTCAACCTGCACTTCAAAATCCCGCATTTTCTGGTCTACTGTCTCAGGTTCCATCTCAGCAGTAAGCAGATTGACATGCTCAGAGAGCAGAGCTGTCTTCTCAATATTCTGAATCATGAAGTGCATTCAAGACCTGAACAAGGCCTCAATTCCCTTCTTCTCTGTCAGCTCCTGCTAATCAATTAGAGAACAGAAGTATTATCAAAAATTATTATCTCTTAATAAAAAACTTATCAGTTTTGACTTCTTTGTCTTCTACTTCAATATCTTCTCAATCTTCTTCTGCTATCACTTATTTACAGTAACACTCTTCTTCTTCCTCTCTCTCTTCATCTTGATCTCAAATCATTCTCAGAACTTCTTCTGATCTCATCACTACTGTATGAGACTCTTCACTGTCTTCTTTTTCAATCTCTCATGAGTGATGTCATCTGCATTATTTCTATACTTAGTTCAGTCTAAATCTATCAGAAGTATTACTTAAAATTATTATCATTCTACTTTCTTATGAAGCCTCTTCAAGGCATTATAATATGTCTTACAATCTGTCTTCTCACACTTGAACACCTTCTTCTCCTCTCCCTTCAATCTGTGACAGCACTCACGCGCCTTGATGGTCCGCAGGACCGCAGAATATTTGAAGAGAAATAACATGATTGATTTTAATGAGTGTTGAGAGAGAGTGAAGACAGGTAATGATATGATGATGATGATGATAATGATGATAATAATAGTGATGATAATGATGATGATGATGATGATAATAGTGATGATGATAATGATAATAATGATGATAATGATGATAATGATGATGATGATGATAATGATAATAATAATGAAAGAGAGAGTGCATCAGAATATATTATTGACTTATCAAATATAAAGAGACAAAGAAACTATTAACAGCTTTCAGAGATGTACAGAAATGACTACAGTGTTACATAGCAACATTATCTTCATTCAATGCATGCACTATTGATATTCTTTGTATGCATTTATCATATAATCTATATCAGAGATACATGCAGAAAACAGATCTTTGTTGCTAGAAAGAATGATTGCAGCAATTCTCTGTTTTCATATTATAAAGATAAGTTATTCTCATTTCTTTCTTCTCTCTTTTCTCTTCTTCTTCAACTCATCACTAAGTTCAAGCTGGTATGAAAACTATTAAAACACTCATAGAAATCCTCAAATTGAAGAGTATAAACTAATCAAATTTTAAATGCAGATGAATCAAAATAATTCAATAATACTAATTATTCATCTCTCTCTCAATAAAACAACAGTCACATCTTCCCTCCCTCTCTCAAACAAAACATGGCTCGCGAAAAGCGAGTACCACGCCAGGCCATAATGACTAACACAGCCCCAGCACGCAGGGCTGCATACACACAGCACATACTGAACTGAGAGGCTGTGTGAGTTGCAAACTGATGACAGCATCCCAGGGAGAGCTGTGTGATGTGAGAAAGTCGCAACTCTCAGTCACATGTGCAGAGGGTGAATCACTGCAGTAAGTGTATGTGTATTGCATGAAAGTAACACTTTTTGATAATGCTCAGTCTCTGATATCATGAAAATAGAGTCTCTCTGTGAGATTCATTTTTATCAGAAGTTGAGAGATCTTATATTCTTCAAGACCATCTTCATGCGCCTTGTCTGTGAAATCAATGAGAAGAATCATTGATTTCAGTGTTCTGTTCTTGATGTCATTCAAGTGACAGCAGAGTTCACCCTGGCCACACTTTTTAAGTGTATGTTTTCTAATTATTCACATTTATACAGATATATACTGATTATTTATTAGATGATATTAAGACAATGACTTATTACAGCTGTATTATCCTCACTGTGAGAAATACACAGTTAATGATGAACATTGTGAAGACTCTGAGAAGTGAGTATTTTAAGAGTACTGCAGCTCTGTGATCTTGATTTTTTTTATTTTTATTTTTTGTTTTTTTCTTTTTCTGTTCTTTTTTTTTTTTTTTAATGTGATTTTTTCTTATATTTGTTTTGTTTTTTGTTTTTTATTTTTTTTTGTATTTTATGTTTTTTTCATAATTAAAATTATATGAATTATAATCTGTGTTCAGAAAAGTAATGATATTTGATAACACTCTCTATTGAATTTTCAACAAATGAGCACTATGTTATGATATTATATAAGTGAGAAGTGATTTCATAATCTCATTTAATACCATTCTCAATAATGAGATCAGAATGAAAATGTGACTAAGAATTCAAACATATTCTTTATTCAGAACTAGATTTTTATTTGAAAAGTGAATCTGAGACCTTTAATATTTGAAATAATGTGATTTGAAATCAATGTGATGAATACAAACCATGATCAGAAGTAATGCTTTTAGGCAACATGACAACTGTAAAGTTTGATTCTGGTCTCAGACACGGTCACACGGTCAGTCTAAAAGAGATTCACTGAGTGAAAAATCTCTGATGTATAAGATTATCTGATAACTGATATTTGATATTATCTGCAAGAGTAAGAGTTCTCTTGCACTTCAGAGAATGATCTTGCTATATTTAAGTGTGAGAGCTGCAGAATGTGAAATATAATCTTATTCTCAGACTCAATTGATTTCAAAGATTCAATCTACAGATTCAATGATGTACATGCTATATACAGTTGACTGATAGAAAGAAAACAGTTTATATAATTCTATCAACTGATATGAGAAGAATATTTCACATCTCTGATATAGAAGAGTTAAATCTGCTTATACATTAATAAGTGAAGAGAATGATTTATAAGATCTCATCTGAAAGTATTCTGTATATCATACAGAATCTGAAAGTGAAGAAAATCAAGATAAAAGATATGTAAGAGAATAAGCATATGAAGAAGCTTCTGAAGAAGTATGAAAAGATCTTCTGAACAGATCTTTCATCAGAATTGCTACTGAAATAAGAATTTGTATATGAGATTGATATGAAGAATACAAAACCAGTCAATCAGAATATGTACTCTCTGTCACAGATGTATCTTGAAGAACAGAAGTGTCAGATTATCAATCTTCTAGAATATAATCTTATATAACTCTTATCAAGTGTGTGAGACTTTTCAGTTCTATTTGTGAAAAAGGTGAATAAGAAGTAGTGAATGTGTATTGATTATTAAGCACTTAACAAGCTTACAATTAAGAATGAATATTCACTATCATGAATTCAACAACAGTTAAATACAGTTGAAAATGTCTGATATCTATTGAAGATCAATCTTCTCTCAGAATACTGACAGATCTGTGTAGATAAACTATCAGTTTCATGAACTGCATTTAATACACAATGAGAGAAGTTTGAATTTCTGGCAATGTTATTCAGTCTGATAAATGCATCTGTCATCTTTCAAATAATGATGAATATAATTCTTTATAAACAGAATGAAATCTCATATCTTATATATCTCAATAACATTCTAGTCTTTTCAAACTTATATGATGAACATCTGAAGTATTTTGATAAAGTGCTTATAACTCTGACAGAGTATAAGCTCTACATCAAATCAATCAAGTGTGTGTTTAAAATGAAAGAGTTGAAGTTCATAGAATATGTAGTAAGTAATGACTGTATACACCTCATTCTGAAGAAATTGAATGTTATAGTGAATTGACCGCAGCTGAGAAATGTACATTATATATAACAGTTTCTTGAATTGATCTCATACTACTGTAGATTTATTAAGAATTTTACATGAATATCTGTATCACTCTCAGATCTCTTAAGAGAAATGAATGCAAATCTGTGAAAGAAGAAGTTTTATTCAATCATCTGAAATACTGCATATAAAGAGACTTTTCTCACACTGAGAGAATATGTAATAACATTCTCAGTGCTTATTTAATCAGATCATAATAAATCTTTCTACATTGAGATTAATGCATCTAAATGAGCTATTGAAGACACTCTTCTACAGATGAGTAAGAATGACAAGCTGCACTCAGTGATGTATAATAATAGAAAACTATCAGATACTGAGCTCAATTATTCAGTATATGAAAAGAAATTACTAGTGATCAAGCATGTGCTGATATTGTGAGATAGATATATTAATAATAAGTATATAACAACAGTGATCACAGATTATGAAAGCCTTGTCTATCTATAATCAATGATAAAATCTTTCAAATGCTTAGTATGTTGAATCTCAGAGTTTTAAGCATATAATCTTCATATTAAATACTGAAAGAGATCAGACACAGTAATGTCTGATACAATCAGTCACAGATCTGATTTCATGAGTGAGAGTTCTGTGAATCAGGTACAAGGAATATTCATGTTAAACACACTGAGAAAATGCAAGAAATCAGAATGAATAAATGTCATGATCTCTCACTTGAAGAATGACAAGATGTTGAATGATAAGTGTCTCATAAGAGTAGTAGAAGAGATGCTTCTGAACTTCAAGCTGAGGAAATTGAGAAATGAAAATGATATTGTGCTTTATCACAATCTAGAATATGCAGAAGCTCTCTATCTAGAATCTTTATTTAGACATGACTTAGTGACTCACATGCACAAGGAATTCAGCCACTTAGAAAGCTCTGAACTCATGAGTATACTTGAATCAAGAGTATACTGATCAAGCATAGCTGAGAACATTCAGATGTACACTCATGAGTGTCTGAATTATCAGGTTATGAAAGAATCTAAGAAAGGATTAGAATATGAGAAAGTATAACATCAGATAAAGTGTATGATATAACTGTTTAAATAATGAAGAGTGAATCTCATAGACATATTATCATGAATGTCAAATGAAAATTGATGAATAATCATGACTATTAATTACACTACTGACTGACCAGTTATAAAAGCAGTTTCAGAGATGACAGAGAAGATGATAATGAAGTTTCTACATAATAAGATCTATATCAACTATGAAATACCATGTGAGATTCTAACTGATAATGATATGAATCTTATAGAAGAAGTGATGAGGCATTTCATAAGTCAGTTACAGACAAGACATTGTAGAACAACATCATATTATCTGTGAATGAACAGAAAGATGAAACACTTGAATGAAATCTTGAATAATATGCTGACAAAATATCTAGTGAGTAAGTCTATGAGACTATGAAATGAATATC